GGTGAGATTAGACAGCATTAAAATACACAGTCTAGACAATCATTAATTTCATAAATACAGGTCAATAATACATTAAGTGTACCCCTTGAGAATTCCCAGCAGATTATTTTTTTTGCATTATATTATCCTTCATATACAAGAAACAGCACATTATAAAGAACCTTTTTTTTTTTCTTGAAGTTTCATTTTGTTTCATTATTTAGAATAGAAATATGCTATTCAGTTTTGTAATAAACGTTTAACTCGCAAGTTGGAATAAACTTGGAATTAATAATAACATTAATAACTAAAAATAATAATTTAAAAACCGAGTGTAAAAGATTTTGCCTGGTGAAAGGCCATGTGCTTCACAGAGGACTCCATTATTGCCTAAGGGTAGAATGGGGGCTTGAATCCCTGTATTAGAACACAATAACACTTCATTGGCATACAGTTTGGCTGTTAATCACATCCCCCCACTTATTACAAGTTTGTATGTGTTTGTTCCTAGTGAAATTTTTGAGACCTTGATACATTTATACAATTCTTATGCTGAGACATAACAGTGGAAGGTCATAAAAGTGCACTTATAATCATGCCCACAAATCCTTTGGTGCCCAGGACTTCTACCCCTAATCACTATCCCAGTTTTACTTGTTGGATAGATCATGCTGGTCGACCCCACTAAGAGCTGAGCAATTCCTAAATATAGCATGCTTGCATATGTGATCATTATTATTTCCACTCAATTTGAAAAGACCTTCATCCTTTTTTTATGTAGTACTCCTCAATTTACCTATCCTGTGTTAGCAAAGTGTAGTTAGCATTATATACGGACCTTCACACTTTTTGTTTCTAAAGGACCCTCCACTGCCCAAATTAAAAAATTAAAAAACTCACTATATGTAAGTTCATTTGAGTAGGATCCTCTTCAACCTATCGTTCCTAATCATAGATTTCCCAATACAACTCAAAGAGAAGTCTTTGCAAGGTAGGCGTTTTGCTCCACTGAGCAGCTAATCAACCAGGAGGTAACAGAACAAATTGTCTGATTGACATGGGGTGCGGGGGGATAGGGGGGGTTAAGTTAATTTCAAAAAGCGCCTGCTTCTGTTAAAATCTGCTTTTTGTGTCAAATGAAAAAAGATGACACAAACTTCACACATAAATCACTTCAGCAAATTTAAAGGATTACTTTGGTGCTAGGGATACAAGATACATTCCTAACACTAAAGTGTCTTTGCCTGCGCCCCTTTCACCCATCCATGAAAGGGATAAACAAAATAATGTTACACTTATCTGATTCCAGGTGCAAGATCAGGTTCCTCCTCTGCAAGATCAGGTTCCTCCTCTGCCCGCTGTGGAGACCCTAATGCTCATGTGTTGCATGCACATTAAAAGGATCACTATAGGGTCAGGAACACAAACATGTATTCCTGATCCTATAGTGTTAACACCACCATCTAGCCCCCCTGGGCCCCTCATGCATCCATAAATATAGTAAAAATCTTACTGTATTCAAGCCTGAAGCTGTAGATCTGCATGCTGTTTGCCTCAGAAAAAAAAACAAGCAGTCTGCTGACATCATCAGAAGTGGTAGCCTGATCCAATCACAGTGCTTTCCCATAGAATTGGCTGAGACTGACAAGGAGGCAGATTAGGGGCAGAGCCAGCATGATTCAAACACAGTCCTGGCCAATCAGCATCTCCTCATAGAGATGAATTGAATCAATGAATCTCTATGAGGAAAGGTCAGTGTCTGCATGCAGAGGGAGGAGATACCGAATCACAGGATGCTGTGCACAGTGCTGCCCTGTGCTCTGCTGACAGCAGATCTGAGTGGATGGAGGCATATTATGCCTCCATGAACTCCGAAGTCCCTCTGGTTCACTCTGAGTGACTGCAACTGGAGGTGCTCCTAGCTTTCAATTTAAACACTGTATTTTCTCAGATGAGAAAGGCTGCAGGGAGCTATAGTTCTCAACTGAACAACCTAATTAAGCTGAAGTTGTTCAGGTGACTATAGTGTCCCTTTAAGCCTTCCTCATAGGATAGCATTGACTCAGACACTAGAAGACACAATGCAAAGCATAAGGATGTCCAGCATTGTTTCACAGAGTCAGACTCTGTGAAACTACAAGACGTGCCTCTAGTGGCTGTCTGGTAGACAGTCACTACAGGCAGTATTAGCACTAAAACTATACTGTTTTACATTACAGGGCTAAAGGGGGTTATAATGTCTAGAGTTCCCTGGCCTATCCTTCCACTTGGCATTAAACCATTTATTATGTTTTGATGCTAAACAACAGTCCCCAGCAGCCCATCCACTCTGTGAAACATTAACCTTAGTAGCAATGGATGGATGTGATTGGCTGAGAGTGTCAGTCGACCACATTTAGCCTATCACAGTGCCATTGCAGGTATAAATCCATATGGCTAGTAGGAAGGAGTGGGGTTATGGGAAGCCAGAGACCTCATTCAGTGTTAAACTTCTCAAAAATGGGTTATCAGTGAATAGAGGGACAGTGCTTGTGGACCATGACCAATTCAATGAGGTGAGATGGTAACAGTACCTAAAGTGTCCCATTAAGGTGCAATAGATCGTTAATGTATTAATTTGTTTGAGATTTCACCAACCTATTTGTACAGTTTTTTGCAAAGCACATACACATAGTTTGTTGTATATTCCTTTTTATTTATTGTCTCACTAGTTTACATTATGTAAAAAAAGACAGCAGATTAATATTAAAAGTGGAAAGAAAGTTGAGAGCTGCAGACAGTACATCACTGGCACTAATTATATGTCAAGAACATTTTTTACAAATATTTTCAAGACCACTATCAGATCATCAGACATCATAATATTGATTTTCATCCATCATTTGTCAATATGTACTTATTTTACTTGTCTGTTGACTTTTATTTCTTGGTTACTGTTATTCCACAATATAAACCACAGACGCAAGTCCTAATGTAAAGTAAAATATCGCTTAAATAAAATATACAGTATTCATATTAATAAACTGAAAAGTAACAGAAAATTAGCATTAACAGAAAATTAAATCTTGCAGTTCATTCTCTAACACAGGGCCAAACTAGCAGATTTGATAAAACATTGCACAGAGCATAATGGAACATTCATTCCTACTTGATTAATTTAGCCAACATTTTGCAATATGTTTCTCCAGTCGCTATAACTCATTGTTTAGTCAATAGACCCCCTTTTCATTGTCATGTCCTTGACATGCTGCCAAAATTTGTAGTTTATATAATACAAATTCTAGTATAATGTTTTCTCAATAAAATACCCTCACACGATTTCAGGTAATCAGTATAAAGTACTTATGAAAGATTAACTGAAAGGGTAGAAACTCACTATCTCTGCCACCTGCACGCAATGCGTGCTAACACATTTTTGCACAGATTTAAATTGGCACTTTCACCTGTGGTGACATTCTGTCATCAAACTAATATGGTGACCAGGGGTCATGTGACCAAGCTCATGTTTAGCTCATGTTTGCTTTTCTTACAGTGGGATAAGCTTTACCTTTTGAAATGGTAACTGGGTAATTCAATACCTTTACAAGTCAGGAAAGAGATAACCACTCCCCCCTTTCTCCATTCCTCTCTGTTCCTTCTTGGCTGTGCTGCAGAGCAGATGTGCAGACGCCATGTGCTAGCATGGTGAACCATGTTACTGTCTGTTGCTTCCTTTTCTTCCTTGGTGGATGTGATGTTGAACTTGCAGCAGTGAGCCATTACTAGATGTGAAGGCCTAACCGTGGGTGAGATCAAACGTGTGGGGAAGGGGTTACTATATAGATAGATAGATTTAAAAAGGGTTGTTGCTCCATGGGTCTGGGCTGTGTGTTTGTGATACATTTATAGTATTGTGTTGTTGCCTTTTAATAAATACCTTTTAATGTAGACGAACCTTGTGTAATATATATATTAATTTGGTGATACACCACATCACCGTCTGGGGACTTTGCAGAAATCTCAAACACCCCCGACAGTGACATCACCGCTGGGGGTCTGGTGGCCAAGGGGGGCAGGTAAATGTGAGATTACTTACTTGAACCTGTCACTCACAGGCGATTCTGTCTTTATGACATACTCGTTTTTCAGGCGGTGACAGTGCCGCACTAACATTGGACAGCACAGAACAGAGTACCTGGCTGCCTGAGTCACATGTGGGGATGCAACTAGTAAATATCTCTATATGTTGAGCGTTTAAAGCAGAAACACTGCACATACAGATTCCTTGTTCTAGGGCCACTTCTAAAAGCAGAAGCAATCATAAACATCAGATTAACCATTTAAAGATCCTATGTCAGCATGGAATGTAATATTTATATACAATCTGCACCTCTAAAGAGCCAAGTGAGTACTGAATAGGTAAGATATTTCAAAAGTCACCAAGGACCAGATTATTAAAATATTAAAAAGGCACAGACCATCATATATTTATAAAGCTCTACTTTGTACATTGGTGGGGCCTTTACATTTTTAAAAAGAGTGAATGTGATGTGGAAGGAGATATACTTACCTAAGGCTCACCTTCTGTTGGGCCACCATCTTCCATTTAATCTCTATTCACTCCCAATGACGTCATGTGCCAGAAGCCATGAAACTGTTGTATTCTTACGCAATGTAGGGGTCTGAGTAATATCTTGTGACATCCAACACACATCCTCTATCCCAGGTGTAAGCAGTCTCTTGCACTCTAGATGTTGTGGACTACAGTCATGGGAAGACTGATAAAGTCATGCAGAAACGTATTACTTCAAGTTATTGCTGCTAAAGGTGGTTCTACAATCTATTGAATCATAAGGTGTTTTTCACACATGGCTTCTCCATTTTGGCTTTATTTTTGTTAAATAAATCATGGCCCTGTATAATATGTCATGCGTTGTTGTTCATCCAAAGTTGGGTACTTACCGAATTTTAAGACCTACTAATGAACAGATGATTGTTATTAAGTCCTGATAAGTAAAACAATAGAATTCAGTTCTTTTTCCCATGACTGTACATCTCCCATAGTGTTCTTAGAGTCATGATGCTGGCAAAGCATCATGGAAGATGTAGTCCACAACTTGTGGAGTGCTGAAGGCTGCCTACTCTTGCTCTAGCTTATGCATAGGGACATCTTTTACCCAATGTGCTGGTGGGTGCCTGTTCCATCAGAAATCAAAAGTAGCAGTTAATAGCAAATTTAGTACTTTTTTGCCAAAAATGGGTTCTTTCATAAGACATCGTAGTCTATTCTTTGCCTTATGGTATTAAGATTACATCTCTATAAAAAGAACCTCAAGTGAATATTCTGGTTTGATTATGTTATTTAACTGAGGTCCTTCAACCACCTTTAGTCTGAAAGTGGAATGTGATGTTGAATTGTAAATAGTGTCTGAGAAGCTTTCGTTCTGGTGTACATAATAGAAATATTGATACAGAGACTTTTGGAAGAGTCCTCAGTATAAGGAATTAGGCACACTGGCTGACCTGAAATAGAGTGCTGGATATGTGCCCAGACTAGCAATGTTCCTGCTTGGCTGGTTAAACACTTCCCAAAGCTCTTTTACATTTTTTTTTTTTTTATTTGGCACCGGCATGTAGACCTTCAAACTCTTGCCAGATCACAGCCTAGAAATTCTATTGGGTCCAAAATTAGAAATGCCAACAGTGAAACTATGTGGGTAATTGCACCCTAAAATGGGGAGCGGTACCTCTGAAAATTGTCCCAGTAACACTGAAACACTTTTGTACTGCGGTTTTCAAAATGACAGTATAATACTTTTTGGGAAGAAAAAGTTATAATTTGGTAAATCTGCATTTTTCAATAGTAATGATGGAAACTTACATAATAGTTACATGGCAGAAGGAGGCCATTAATACATCACATCTGTAAACCAAATGATCCAAAACAAAATACTACTTAATATGATGTAATAAACACACAAAATAAACACACACTTGGAACAGTGTATCATTTTAACCACTGTAGTATTAAATATGCTTTTCTACATAGAGAAATGTTAATGGTTTGCTATTGCACATTAAGCCCAGAAATCTACGAAAATGTCAGCATATCTGTTACTTTGTCCTTTCCTTAATACTTTTAAATATATAAAAATAACAAAAAAATATAATAATCTGTCTGCTACTATGGCAAAAATGCAGTTAAATTAGTCAATACTACTTTCCAGTGTTTTAAATCAGCAATTAATTTGACCAGGAGAAGATATAGTTTTAATTGAAGTTATCGTAATGAATTATTATTGGTCAGTATTTGCGTATTTAGATGTCACAGAGGTGCTATATATTTTTACCAGTGTAGTCAATAAATTACAACTCCGTAGGAGTGTCTATATAAAGCATGCAAGTAAATTCTAGTTTAATCTCCTAAACCAATGCAGGAACTACAGGCTACATGCACAAGGAACACAAACTAGACACTGTCCTTAAAAATACTAGACAGCGTGTAACATTACATCATTTACAACTGATAAGTAATAAGTCAAATACATACTTAAGTATTTGGATGTTTTTCAAGAATACAAGAAGTTGCTGGGTTGCTACCTAGATGATATCCTTCTGTAAACCAAACCTGGGAACATTGGTAGGTCAGAATCATACGATCCCTCTTAGACTTTCTGCGGAAGATATTGGCCAATAAGGTGAAGGCACAACAATCCATTGACAAGCAAAAGGGGATAAAAATGGGCAATAAATGTGAATAGTGATGTCCCGAACGGTTTGCCGTAGGAGTGTCTATATAAAGCATGCAAGTAAATTCTAGTTTAATCTCCTAAACCAATGCAGGAACTACAGGCTCATCATTGAGTAAACTTTGACCCTGTACCTCACAGTCAGCAGACACATTCCAGCCAATCAGCAGCAGACCCTCCCTCCCAGACCCTCCCACCTCCTGGACAGCTCACTAAGAATGCAGCTTCACAATGAATGTAAAATGGATGCTGTCCGGGAGGTGGGAGGGTCTGGGAGGGAGGGTCTGCTGCTGATTGGCTGGAATGTGTCTGCTGACTGTGAGGTACAGGGTCAAAGTTTACTCAATGATGAGTCCGTGGCGAACCGTTCGTGACGAACCATTCGTGAACCGTTCGGCGAACCGTTCGGGACATCACTAAATGTGAAGAATCAGCTCCAATAGGGAATTCACAGTCCACGAATAAATGAATGGACTTGAGAAGTGAAATAAAATAACACTTAAGAGTGTTCCTGGGTTGCCACCTGGATAGCATTTTAGAAAGACGCTAGAACATCCAACACTGGTCAGTCAAAGACCCGGAGGATCACCCTTTCATCTTTTTGCAGAGGAAGAAAGGTTGTAGTACTGGACAAATTAGGGCAGTCCCAAGCAAAAACGTTTCAGAATAAGATACATAGAGGATTTTAATAGGAAAGTCCAATTTGGATGGTGGCCAGGTTGATATAGTAACTAGGAAGATTGAGTCTAAACAGAGGCTTCTCCTCTGCCCAGAACAAAGAGTTTTGTGCGGGCTTCCTGGCAAACAAGGGTCAGAAACAGATACACTGGGCCAAACCTTCAGGTTAGCATGTGTTTTGGGGAAAAGTTGAAATACTGAAATAATAATTTACATCTAAAACAAAACAGCATTGTGCCTGACTATCACATTGCATTCCAGCCATTCTAGGTTTGGAGGGACTGTCCCATCGCTGACCTCAAGTCTCGTTATTAGAGACTGCCCCTGTGGCGTCCTATATATATTGGAAATTGTTTTTTTTTTTTTAAAGAATTATTTTTATTTTTATTCCAACTATGAAAGTATCACGCAAAGTAAGCGAAAACAAAATAAAATAAGGTTACAACGCACTGGTTACTGGGCAGACAGAGTGCCAACAATTGTTTTCATTGTCTGTATCCTTCTCATGCGCTCTACATCCCACAGGCAAAACTATTAAAGCAGTCAAAAAAAATCCTGCTAGACAAATGACAGAAGTATATGCAACAAAAAGATGACAATATGCAAGTGATATCCAGATAAAAGCCTTTGTCACACACTGGAGATATCTCTCCAAAACAGGTTCAAGCTAGGACGTGAGATTAATCTATTTTTAAAGTAAAACACATTGGCATAGTTAATTGCCCTGTAAACAATATTTGGAGAATTAACATACTTTTCAAAGTATTCATTCTTTGAAGCAGACTGTGCATCGTTGCAGTCTGCTGCTATCAAAGACAAAATATTTCATCATATGAGCATGTTTTCCTTAATATAAATGATGCTAGACATCGGTTAACCCTCCCTTGTCTGGGAGCCAGGCACAGCGCCAATTTGTGATTTTTAGTTGACCGCTACATTTAAACCCTACGAATGCGCACAAAGCCGAATTCCTTTTTGGCACCAGACTTTGTTCCAAGATTTTGTTTTTAATAACACAGCTAATAAATGAGACATTAACTTCAATTAAGAGGCACACAATTATATTAATGTTGCTCATTTATTTGCGGAGGTTTGTTGCTGTCTGTCACCGAGCTCTTGTTTTTTACTTTTGTTTTAAGATAGATTGGTCATTAAAATTTGGCAAAGGTTCGTTTGTATGTTTTGTTTTTTCTTTTTTTTATGGTGTATACATAGTTTAATGTGAAGCAATTTGTGTTATACTGCGCCCACATGACAGATCATCATAATTTGAGCCCACGCCACATAAATGCCTTGACTTGCCTGACAGTCTTCTGAGGTTTTGAAATCTTATATGAAGCTTAAAGTGAACCTGTCATTTATTAACTTACATTTGATGAGGTTCCTTTCAGGTAAGTGAAATCATCAGCAGACCTATATACTGAAATATATACTTTCCTAAATTTATGTCCTGGTCGGTGCAGAGAAGCATCTGGGAAATAGAATCCAATGAAATACTTTAAAAAGTCTATACTCCCATCTCATTCCTTGATTACAATGAATGTAAAATGTTCAGAGTCAATGTGGCATTTAAAACGAGTCTATAATCCATTTAAAAAAAAGCCCAAACCTTCTGAATAAGTGAAGGTAGGTGAAAATAAACGACCAATCGGTTGGCATACAGGAATTATAGATCCCCTATACCATCACCACAACAAGAGAATCCTATATTTTTTCTGCTGATGCAAACCATGACATTGCTCTACTTCTTTACCCCATACTGTAATGAACATTTGTTTGAATTGCAATCTACAGGTAAGGAATCCATAAATAAAGTCTAGTTCTGCTTGAACTGTGCTTGGCTGCATTCAAATTGAACTCATCTATAAGTGTCAGGCATAGTATAGTGGGCCTTAACTGCATCAATCGCCAAACAGCTCTTCAGTTAACCTCTTTGACTTCAGTGGTGACTTGGCAAGACATTTATTCTGAGTTTTGTTCTTCCAGGCTCCCACAAAGAAAATATAAATTGTAACAGCAAATCTGAAACAAGTTTTCCATCAGATCTGTTTCTAAATATCTTTTTCTCTTTTACTAGGTAACTTTGGAGTCCAGACCAGATTCCTTTTGGTTTGAGCACCCCGACCCGCCGTGCCCCCAGCTTCAAGTGTCTCTTTGGAGGTGACCACAGGAAAGTATAAATTTGAGGAGGTTTTGGATAGCAGTGTCACTTTATTAATAATTTTTATTTGATATAGAGAAGATATGATATGAAGATATGATATGCATTGTGAGTATGTACATTAAAGCGCTATCACTTTAATTGTTTTGTTTTTACACTATTTTTTAATTGTTTTTATCACATTTATTTTGCATTATATACATATTTTCACAATGCTCTTACCACAGCGTATTTTTTTTTTTATAATCTTTATTTTTGACGTTGCGTCAAACACATCTAGGCAGGCATACATAACAGGGGTCCAAAATGAACATAAACACAATCATTTTTGAACAATAGACAGGAAGGTTTGCCCTGGGTTCCTGTGTTAGGATGCAGTACCATGTATTGTGTCTTTTGCCACAAGTAGTGTGTATTCGTACACAAATTATCTAACAAGTGGTTATGCAAGTATGGCAGCGTCCTACTACGTAGCTAAAATCAGTGGAGTGCTCCAACTGTCTTGCATGTTATTATTTAGCATAGTGATCCACGTGTGTCGTCCGACCAGTTGCTGCAGTCTAACTGGTCTATGATGTTGTATAGGAGCTATGCGGCTGTGTGAAATGTGCAGTGTGTGTATGTGGCATAGCCGTGAGAAGTGGTGTTCGGAGTGGGATTTGATGTGG